ACAAAACAACCATAAAACAATGAAACAAATGATAGTAATAAGTCTTTATTCAGTAATTACCTTGAATGTAATTAGATTAAATTCTACAATGCAAAGATGTAGAGTGGCTGAGTGGATAAAAACAAAGGAGACCTAACTATATCCAGCCTACGACAGACTCACTTCACAGTTTAAGGACTATGAACAAATGAAAAAAGTGAACGAATGAAAAAAAGATACTCAATGCAAATGGAAACCAAAATAGAACAAATGTAGCTATACTTATATCAGATAAAATAGGCTTTAAGTAAAAAACTATCAAATGAGACCAAAAAGGTCATTGTATGGTGATAACGGGGTCAATACATCAAGAGACTTTAACAAGTATAAATATATGTGCACTCAACATTGGCACACCTAAATATATAAAGCAAATATTAATAGATATGAAGGGAGAGCTAGACTGTAATACAGTAATAGTAGGGACCTCCAATATCCCACTTTCATCAATGAACAGAACATCTAGACAAAAAATCAATAAAGAAACATCAGACTTAACCTATACCAGGCCAGGCATGGTGGCTTAAATCCCAGCACTTTGGGAGGCAGAGGCAGGCAGATCACTTGAGGTCAGGAGTTAGAGACCAGCCTGGCCAACATGGTGAAACCCTGTTTCTACTAAAAATTAAAAAAATAGCAAGATGTAGTACCTCGTGCCTGTAGTCCCAGCTACTTGGAAGGCTGAGGCAGGAGAATCTGCTGAACCTGGGAGGCAGAGGTTGCAGTGAGCCAAGATGGTGTCACTGTACTCTAGCCTGGCCGACAGAGCGAGACTCTGTCAAAAAAAAAAAAACCTATACCTTGGACCAAATGGTCCTAACAGACATGTATAGAACATTCCATCCAGCAGCAGCAGCATATACATTCTTCTCAAATACACACAGAACATTCTCCGGAATTTATGACATGTTAGGCCACTAAACAAACCTAACAAACTTAAGAAGATTGAAATTATAGCCAGTATTTTTTTTCAACCACAGTAGCATATAAAATAGAAATCAGTAACAGGAGGGATTTCAGAAAATTCGCAATTACATGGAAATTAAACAGCATGGTACTGAACAACAAGGAGTCAAAGAAAAAATGAAAAGGGAAATTTAGAAAAATACCTTGAGGTACATGAAAATGGAAACACAAGACATAGTAATGGGATGCAACAAAAGCAGTTCTAAGAGGGAAATTTATATCAATATGTGCTTACATTGAAAAAGAAGAAAGATCTCAAGTAAACAACCTAACATTACACCTCAAGGAACTAAAAACAGAACAAACTGAGCCCAAAATTAGTGGAAAGAAAAAAGTAATAAAGATTAGACCAACCAGAAATAAATGAAATAGAGACTAGAAAAATAATAGAAAAGATCAACAAAACTCAAAGTTTATATTTTGAAAAGATAAAATTGACAAACCTTTAGACTACTTAAGGACAAAGAGAGAAGACTTAAAGAAAATCAGAAATGAAAGAGGAGACATTACAGCTGATGCTACAAAAATGAAAAAGAAACTACTATAAACAATTATACCCCAACAGTTTGGACAATCTAGATGAAATAGATAAATGTCTAGACACATGCAGTCTATGAAGATTGAACCATGAAGAAATAGAAAATCATAATAGACCAATAATAAGTAAGGAGATTGAATCAGTAATAAAGACTCTCATCAAAGAAAATCTGAGGCAGGACCCAACAGCTTTACTGCTTACTACTACCAAACATTTAAATTTCAAACTCCTAAAAAATTGAAGAAGAGGGAATACTTTCAAACTCATTTTACAAGGTTAGCATTACTCTTATTTCAAAACTAGACAAGGATACTACAAGAAAGAAAAATTACAGGCCAATTTTCTTGATTAACATAGATGTAAATCAACAGTGTAAATTAGTTCAACCATTGTGGAAGACTGTGGCGATTCCTCAAGGACTGAGAAATAGAAATTCCATTTGACCCAGTAATCCCATGACTAGGTATATATCCAAAGGAATATAAATCATTCTACTACAGGGACACATGCACACGAATGTTCATTGCAGCACAGTTTACAATAGCAAAGACCTGGAACCAACGTAAATGCCCATTGCTGATAGACTGGACAGGGAAAATGTGGCACATATACACCGTGGAATACTATGTAGCCATCAAAAACGATGAGTTCGTGTCCTTTGTAGGGACATGGATGAACCTGGAAACCATCATTCTCAGCAAACTGACACAAGAAGAGAAAAATCAAACACCGCATGTTCTCAGTCACAGGTGGGTGTTGAACAATGAGAACATATGGACACAGGGAGGGGAGCACTACACACTGGGGTCTGTTAGGGGGAAATAGGGGAGGGACAGCGTGGGGTGGGGAGTTGGGGAGAGATAGCATGGGGAAAAATGCCAGATATAGGTGATGGGGAGGAAGGCAGCAAATCACATTGCCATGTGTGTACCTATGCAACAACCTATGCTGCATAGGTACACACGTGGCAGTGTGATTTGCTGAAGTGCCTTCACGAACTCTTGCATGTTCTTCACATGTACCCCAAAACCTAAAATGCAATTTAAAAAAAAGAAAGAAAAAAAATAAAAGAATAAAGTTCAAAGTATCATAAATGTTATCTAAATGAAGTATGGGTGAGACTCAAGATCCGACTTGTCCTGAGTCAAAATTATTCTCCAGGTATGAGCCTGTGAAACCAGCTACACTATGTGCTTCCAAAATACTGTGGTGGGAGAGGCACAGGAGAGAGATTTCCATTCCAAAAAGGAGAATCAGAAGGAAAAAATGGGTGATGGATCCTAAGCAAGTCCACGACCTGGCAAGGCAAATTCCACTGGATCTTAATTCTTGAATATAGTCTTTTTTGGATTACTGTCTTGCTTTATAAGCCCACTGGGGTGGCAGCATCATTCCCATGGCTCTGGAGGATGGCTCTACCCCTTTGACTCTACAATGCCCCATTGCCATGGCTCTAATTAAGTGTCCTGTCTCTGTAGCTCTATTGACTCAGGGTCCCACCCCATAGCTCTGCTGAACTGGGGCCCACTGGGTGTTCCTTCCTCCAAAGCTCAGGGCGAAAGCCACCTGGCCTGTTGAAACTGGGACAATGACTCTGATGATCTCTGGATCTCCTGTGAAATCATGTTTTCTTCTTCTTGAAGAATAGTGCATATTTGCACCTGAATAGTTCTGTCATTACATCCTGTCTAATTCAAGAAGTCCAATCCATAGGCTTCCTTAATTTTATCCTGCAATGTTTCTGCTTATATAATCCCATACACTTATCAAATATCTGTTCACCCACCCTTAGCATTCCCATCAGAAAGAGCTTTCTCATTTTTCCAATACAAATAGGCTAAGAATGTTTCAAATCTTCAAATTCTGATTTCTTTTTGCTTAACAATTTCTTGTTCAATTCGTCTCTTGCCATTTGTATTTTATGATAAGCAGTCAGGAGGAACCAAGTTGCTCCTTTAACAGTTTGATTAGAAATATCCTCAGCTAAATATCCAGTTTCATTGCTTGCAAGTTCTACTGCCATAAAACTCAATTCAGTAAAAGTCTTTGCCATTTTATAAGGGTCACCTTTCCTCTAGTTTCTAATAACATATTCCATATTTCCATCTGATAAGTCAACAGAATCACCCTTAATGTCCATAGATATACTAGGTACCCCAAAACTCTTCCAGTGTCTACCCATAACTAGTGGCAAGGCCACTCCCACACGTTTAGGTATTTGTTACAGTAGTACCCAACTCCTGGTACCAAAATTTGTCTTATTCAGCTGGGGCTGTCATAACAAAACACCATAGACTGGATGATTTAAAAAACAGAAACGTATTTTCTCATAGTTCTGGAGGATAGAAGTCCATAGTAGTAAACATGGTTATTTTAAAGTCTGTGTCTAATCACAAAGGCATAAGAATGATACAATGGACTGTGGGGACTTGGGGGGAAGATCGGAGGGGAGTGAGGGATAAAAGACTACAAATATGGTACAGTACTGCTCCAGTGAAGGGTGCACCAAAATCTCACAAATCACCACTAAAGAACTTACTCATGCAACCAAATACCACCTGTACCCCAATAACTTATGTAAAAAATAAAATCTGTGTCTAACAATTCCAATATTTTAGATACTTTTATGTCTGTTTCTATCATCTGTTGTTTTTCCTGCTTGTTCAGATTGTCATGTCTCCTCATGTACCTGAATATTCTTGATTGTGGTGGGCACTGGCACTGCAGAAGGTGTCTGAGCTAGAACTGTCTCATGCCATGCTTACAACTAGCACAATGCATTAGGGCATACCTTGTCTACTTCCATAAGAACAAGTTTACATATATATATATATATATATATAAACACTGACACATTCTATGCTTCATTTGATGGGGTACACACATGCTAAAAGAACCCATAAAAATAATTTAGACTCATATTTTCTGGATCACAAGAGTCTAATTGCTGTAATATCAACTCTAATTTTCTTCTTTCTTTTTTTTTCCTTTGAGATGGAGTCTGGCTCTTCCACCCAGGTTGGAGTACAGTGGCATGATCTCGGCTCACTGCAACCTCCACCTCCTGGGTTCAAGCAATTCTCCTGTCTCAGCTTCCTGAGTAGCTGGGATTACAGGCACCTGTCACCATGCCCAGCTAATTTTTGTATTTTCAGTAGAGTCGGGGTTTCACCATATTGGCCAGGTTGGTCTTGAATTCCTGACCTCAGGTGATCCACCTCACCTCAGCCTCTCAAAGTGCTAGGATTACAGCCATAAGCTACCATGCCTGCCCTCCAATTTTCTAATAATCTCAACAGTAGATGCCATAACCTATAGGAAATGTGCCAATTTCAATGGAAGTCCTTCATTCCTTAAACAACAATCTTTTCACATTATGATTGTTAGAACACAGCACAAAGCTGAACAATGCTGCTTTTCTTCCGTTCTCTGCTTTTTTCCAAGTGGAAAATTAAACTCACCTTAACTGTTGTTCTCATTTTCTTTCTCAAGTAACATGGCAGCATTTGAGACCTCACCTTGCTGTCCCTCAGTTAATCTCTCTTGAACCATGCTTTCCATGTACCCATGGATGAGCTGATGGGCTGCAAGAATATGTTTCCGCTGTGCATTCCTCACTGTGCCAAAGTGATAGAAAAATTTTCACTCTGAAAGTCTGGATGAAACCATTCCCAAATGTTTCAAGAGAGTCATGGTAGAAATAAGAAGTTTGCAAACTAAAGGTAAACCCAACCCAAATCTAATTTCTTTCTGCTCCCTCTGTACCCACTCTCTGGCTCAGCCCAGTCATACTCCTTCCCACCATGCTTGCCTCCATTCCACTCCTCAGCAGTTTCCCTCACTTGGAATGCCTGAACTGCAAAACCTGGAAAGCTCATTTTCCAAGATCCTCCAGGAAGTCTCCTCTGATTATGTCAGCCCAGATTTACCACTTACCACATTTGAGTTTGTACCAACCTATTCAGCACTGAAGCACTTCATGTGAGTTACGTTTTGTTTGCTACCGAGTGTAAATAACTTATGAATAAGTAACTTGTCTCATACTTCTCTTTGAGCCTTAGTTCTTAATGTGAAGGGGGACTTACTGATTGATGATGAGTTTCTGAGTTCATGGGTTTAGAAGGTAGTCCTAACTCCAAATTCTAAGAATATTCACTGTCAGGATTTAGCACAGACAATACTAAGCACCTAAGCCCTTGGAAAGGACTAGTGATGATGATGATGATGATGATGATGATGTTAGCAGTTAGCATTTCTCCTTACTTTGTGCCAGGTACTGTTTTAAGCAGCTGACATGTAATTATCAATTTAATTCTCTTAAAAGATAGCATTATTAATATCCCCATTCTTAGAAGAAGAATCATGGATACAGAGACATTAGGTAATTTACCTGAAGTCAAATAGCTAGTAAAAGACTATAAGAAGTACTGTGGATTCTTTGCTGTTTGGGTATCAGCTAGTTTAATTAGGGTAATTAACTCAGCAGTTTTTTAGCACTTCACAGCAATATGGTTGAAAAATCTAGGGCTTTGGAGTCACAGAGACCATGGTTCAAATTTGCAAGTCATATGTCTCCAAGAGCTAATTTCCATTAATTGAAAAATGAGAATATACCTATAGTTTTTGTAAGAAACTGAGATAGTGTACATTTAAAAATGCTTAGTGAACTTCCTGGAACTTAGTATGCATTTAAAATTTGGCAGTTACTGTTATATCTATATACAGGTATCTGTAAGGTCTTTCTGGTCCACTGGCTTTTTAAAAAGTGATATATCTCAAAACGGTCTATATATAATATTACCTTAATTTTGGGTAAAGAGTATATATAATACATATGGTTCTGTTATTTGACAAGAGAAACAAAAGGTCCTAGTGTGCTCCCTGTTCATATGGTTTTTTTGATTTGGCAAAAATAGAAAGGGGAGAGGCTAAGGACTCAGTCAACTTGCCCACACAGAAGACCCCCTGGATTCCTTCAGCTCAAGTCTTCCTCCAGATCCTCAACTCAGACTCCCAAGGTGGGGAGGATCCCAAACTTGTAATTTTTTTTTTTTTTTTTTTTTTTTAGAGACAGGGTCTTACTCTGTTGTTCAGGCTGGAATGCAGTGGCACAATCTCAGCTCACTGCAGCCATGACCTCCTGAGCTCAAGTGATCCTCCCACTTTAGCCTCCTGAGTAGTTGGGACTACAGGTGCACACCACCACACCTGGCTACTTTTTAAATATATTTTTGTAGTGACTGGGTCTCCCTATGTTACCCAGGCTGGTCCCAACTCCTGGGCTCAAGTGATCTTCCCGCCCCAGACTCCCAAAGTGCTGGGATTACCGGCTTTGGCCACCGCACCTGGCCAAAAACCAGTAAATATTAAACCCATTGTTTCCCTCTCTTTCAATCCTAGGGTGGATTTCAATCAAGGGTGGAATGGCTTTGAAGCAGGCTGGCCTCACTTTGAATTTAGGAGAAGTGGAAAGGAGTAGCATATTTTCTTAAGTCCCTAGAAAACCTAAGGTCCTTTTTGTAACATAATGTGACACAGAAATATATTACTTTATCTGAAAATTAACTTTTTTGTATAAGCACTATCATACACTATTGAAGACAGTCAACAATCATTTTGGGGAACAATTTGGTAATATCAAATTGGCAGAACAATCTTTTTGTAGGGAAATTTGGTACAATCTATCAAAATGTAAAATACACATACCCTATATCCCAGCAATTGTATCGTTAGGAATTTACTCTCAGAAGCATGGCCAGGATATGTGTAAAATATATTGACTGAAGCACTGTTAGTAATAGCAAAACACACTGGAAACAACCTAAATGCTTATCCTTAGGGGTACTGGTTTAAAAATTACACTACAACCATGCAATGGAAAAATTGGTATTTCTTTGTCCTCTGCAAATGAGTTAGAGCTCCAACATTTCTTTATCCCTGATTAAGCAACTGAAATGTTAAGCATTTTTCTGCTTAAACCTGTCTGGAATTCCCCTGTATAATTTTGAATGTATCTGAGCTACTGTTTCACTTAAATATTGGTCTTCTCCTGGTTGCACCCCTCTGACTAGGATCAAGCCTATCATCAAGAGTCTCAGAGCTATGGAAGAATCTTTTTTTTCCGTTTAAGACATTATTTTCTCTTTCTCTATTGACTATAAGCATCAATCTTTAAAAACATGTCACCTGTGACAAATGATAAACTAGAATATTTGTACTTGGATGGAGTTCCAACAGAAACAAGCTATTTGGGGTACAGGCAAAGCAACAGCGTAGATTTAGACCTTTCTAGCACCCCTGCTTTTTAATATTCATGGTTCACGTGTCCTGCCTCTGAAAGGCAATCTGAAAATCTTTTATATGCTATCTGTTTTATGCTTTTTTAAAAAAAAAGTTTAAATGGCCAGGTACAGTGGCTCATGCCTGTAATCTTAGCACTTTGGGAGGCCGAGACTGGCGGATCATGAGGTCAGGAGTTTAAGACCAGCCTGGCAACATGCTGAAACCCTTTCTCTACTAAAAATACAAAAATTATCTGGGCATGGTGGTGGGCACTTGTAAAATCCCAGCTACTTGGGAGGCTGAGGCAGGAGAATTGCTTCAACCTGGGAGGCAGGGGTTGCAGTGAACCGAGATCATGCCATTGTACTTCAGCCTGGGCAACAAGAGCAAGACTCCATCTCAAAAATAAGTAAGTAAATAAATATTAAAAAATAAAACAAAATAAATACACCTCTTCTGAAAACTTGGCAACATCCTTTTAAAGAAGGTTTGGATTGTACTACTGTCACTCTGATTAGAACCACATCCCATCTGTACTAGATTATATTCTAGAATCAGACAGCATGAAGAGAACCTGACAAGCTCTGAAATAAGAAAACTCAGCGATCCTCCTTCAGAAATTTCCCCATCCCTCTGTTTAAGTCTCTGGGATATTGAAAATAATTCACAACTTTAAAAAAATCCTAAAGTAAAGCATTTATATTGGCTTACCTTTTTCTTTGACAAAGTATTTTTGCACTTCTGGGATCAGAAAACTATAAACCAACTCTGCAACAATCTCCTCTGACTGAAGATAGGTTCGGCTAAAAAATAAAAAACAAATTGAATGATTTCTTTGGTTTCTTTACTTGAGCTGCTGATTTATGTTTTCCTGCTGTGTAAGCAACCCCACTCAAATCCCACCATCACCTTTTCCTTGATTAAGTGATCTGAAATATCACATTCCTGGCAGGTTTGTTTAACTCCACAAAAAATTGGATTTGACCCTGTCCTTCAGTTACCCTGCCTGCCAGGAAGGGAATGTTGGAAATATAGCTTACACATAGAAGCCAGAAACCTTGGGATGAAGTCCCAGTAATGTTGCACACACATAGTCATATTGTTTTCATGCTTCCAAGTATTCTTAAAGTGAGTAGAGTACTCCAGGTTGCAGAGGATAACTGAGAATACATACGGAGGTATACGCATGTTGGCTTCTCAAGAGTTATGTTAATAAAACAATGGACCCTGAAGTATGAGTTATTTATTTGTTTCTCCTTGGTGGTGAAATTGTAAGCTCTTGAAAAAATATATATGAGTACCAGCAAATGGACTTTCCATTCTACAATCTGTTCTCTTGATACACACCGGCTTTCCATTTCATAAGCAATGTCATTGATTTTCTCAGCCATCTTCTCAATTTCTGCCCTGGCTTGTTCTTCTGCAGTATTCGCTTCGGTATTCAGTATTATGTCTTCTAGGTAGGAGGTTATAGTACTATGGTGAATTTTAACTACCTGCAAAAAACAATAATACCCTCACTAAAACAGGTATGTTGTTGTAAACAACACAAGAAAAATAAACATTGGTTAACTTTAAGCACATATATTTCATTTATTAAGTAAACCGACCCTTCACTAATTATTCATTTTCTTTACCATATCATCAGTCTGTTTCTCATCCACCTATCTACTCATTCTGGGTAGCCCACACCCATTTAGCCCATTTCAGAATTATGGAACTTATTTGCAGGGCAAGACAGCACTGCTGAAGGATCATGAGCTTCAGAGTCAATAACGCTGGTTTGAATCCTGGTTTTGTTCTTACCAGCAACATGACGGCCAAACTACCTAACTGTAGCACAGACTAGGAAGTATTCCCCAGTGTCCTTTCTCTCTTTCCCCTTACATAATAGAACCTCTGGATTTTAGCTAGGCAAACAGGTGCTTAGAATGAAGACTACATTTCTTAGCACTCACAGGAACTGGACTGGCTATATGACCACGTTCTGACCAAAGAAAGGATTCTTAAAGGGAAAGACCTGGCTTCTTTTTTTCCCTCTGCATTACTCATTTCATGAGAACATAATGCTGGGACACCAGCAATCATCTTAAATTGCCAAAAGGGCTATGACCTGGCTACGACCTAAGAACAGAAGAGTAGAAAGCTAGAAGGATCCCAGGTCTCTAATGAATTTATTGAACAACCATAGCAGCCCTTGATTGCTTCTTTTTAACGGAAGTAGC